ATATATATATATATATATATATATATATATATATATATATATATATATATATATATATATATATATATATATATATATATATATATATATATATATATATATATAACGCGGATATATTACTGAACATAACTGTTTATTACACACAGCCCCCCCCATAACGTATGTAAGAAAAATGTTAAAGATTCTTAAAATAAATTGAACAGCATACATCTTGTCGAACCAATCTTCCTTGTAAAACCGGTGGTTACTACATGGCTTACCTATGCCAACACTGAGTAGAGATAGTGCAGTGAGTAGACAAAGTCTTTTCATGTCGCCAGTGAAGTAATTATCCGTCCTGTTCGAAAAAAAACAAGAGATACACTCTAGAGATGCGAGAGCGTGCCAATATGACCACGACAACATCGCCCCGGCGCCATCGAGAAGTCTTTCCAAATGTTAATGTGGCGTTCGTTTATTATACAGCGAACAACAGCCGCTGCTTGTTGACATAAGCGCCCAAAGTGTTTACAGAGCTAACAAAATGTTAATGTTTAAAATACTACTTAATGCGTAGGGGTTGACTTTTTAGACCAGGGGCAACTTCTCGTTTTTTTGGTTTCTCAACTCTTAATCGCCGTTTGGGTTCTCAACGGCTTTCTTTGCAACAAGCAGACATGATAAAATTTTGTAAAATTTACCCAGATGTGATTTTGGTACAATGGGTCAAATTCTGCTTGTTAATATCCCTATGGTAATTCTTTTAAATGTGTATTTTTACACAAAGCCAGTAAGTAGTTTCCAGGTTAATATGCAAAATTACGCATCTTTTCCTAAACCAATTACATGCTTCATACTCAAATGTTAGAATATTCGTCTTTATATAGTCTCTAACATCATTCAAACGCTGCAGCTGTTGTCAATGGCAATAGGTATGTTTATCAGGATCTTTAAATTGTGGAGTCGTTTGGCGCAGTCGGTAGCGCGGTCGGCTCACACCCAACAGGTCGCGGGTTCGAATCCTACCCATGTTACCGATCTTGTGCCCTTGGGAAAGGCACTTTTCACGACTTTCCTCACTTCACTCAGGTGGAAATGAGTACCTAGCTTCGTCCCTCGAATAGGACGTTAAATGGGGGTCCCGTGTTTGGTGAGAGCCACACCCCATGCACGTTAAAGAACCCACCGCACTTATCGAAAAGAGTAGGGGACCTTCCCGGTGTGAGTGGTTCAAACCTTACAAAATTGGTGTGTTACGCATAAAGGCGGTTTACTGGTTATGCGAAACAAACAGGTTTACGCGGAAAACAACATTATTTTAGAACTTTGTTACATTTGCCCCCTTCCCCAAAAATACATATATTTTAGACAGCACTCTGATATTGTGGTGCGTATTTATCTAGTTTGTTTACTTCGATACTGGGATGTATTTATACTGCATATCATCTGTAAAATGCAAATGATAGTAATGAGAAGAACCCTTAAAACCTGACACATGGAAATAGGCCATACATGAATACACATAATATATATATTGAGTTCATAGATTACACCTTAGATCTACACTTTAGACGTAGCAAGGTCAAGGTACTTTGACTGTGAGAATAGTCTGATACGATATTGGTGACATTAGATACAATCACTGTATAAACAAGGAAGGTTGCTACGGAAAATAACAAGGTCTAACTCTGTTTTGAATAGGCACTTTTATGGCATTGGTAACTATTGTAAACATTTTATTGTTCCCTCGCTCTTAAGTAATACACAAAGGTATTGCTCCCCTGTAGCGTGGCGTTTGACCATGCATAGCAACCTTCCTTATTTTCTAAAAGGGCGATCTTACAGATAACATTGTTTTGAACTAACAAGGAAGGTTGCCATCCATATTTCAAATACTTTATTTCAGTGTCTAGTAAAAACATCTTATTCAAAGAAGGGAACAAGCGGACAAAAGTGGACTTGTCGTAAATACACGGATTCATTGATGTTAGCTATACCACTATACAAACAAGGAATGTTGCTACGGAGGATAGCTATGGCGAAAGCTATATTGTATGCCTATTGGCATCGTGTCTGTGTGGACTGTGGAAAAGAACCAGTGTCATAAAAGTCCTTAAGCCTTGAACAAAGCCGAACAAATAGTTATTTTAAGTCGCGTCCAATTAAGGGACGTCTACATTTAAAGCGCACGTTGCAACATGAACATGGTTATGCCTCCTAGGCCTAGCAACAAACTGTCTTAACACGTCAATAATTTGGGTAGGGAAGTTTTCAAAATCATGTAAAACGATGGTCTTATCAGGCTATTTCATAATGACTTTTTAATGCCTACCTGGCTGTGCTTTGATTTACTGACTGTATTTAGCACATACCTATTTTTTCCTAACAAAAGATGGACGGCCATTGTTAAGCTTAGCCAATTAGGATAGCTTTCTGGGCTTTCTGCGTCACATAAAAAGCAGCTTTAAGTCAGAATTGCAGATTCTAGTCAAGGATAGAGGTACTGGCAGCAAGATAAACTTTTGTGACAAGGCGTTAAGGAGGGTCCTTGAAGATTAAGTACGGCTATGTGGCAGCGAAGCCGCTTTAAAGTAACGATGCTTTCATTCCTGATCTTCACTGCTGGAATCCTTGTCGGTAAGTAAAATTTTTCAAAACCTTAACAAGCTCAGCATTTGTAAAAAAAAAATGCAATTTTATCAAGAGGGGATGTCTACTAAAAATTGTTGTTGAGAAATGTGAACGTGGTCCTTCGACAAATTTTCGAATTTTAAACCACGTAATTATTTCATTATTTCAACGCCAACGTGTTAGTTTTGCCATATTTTGTTGAGGTTATCAAACATGAATGATATTTTACCAAGGCGTTAGGTGTGATTCTTTACAGTTGGGGTTATTTCGGAACTTATACATAATGCATTGTGAATGCTTAAAGTTAGACGTGATTTCTTTGTTTATATCCGAAATTGAAGATGGTCTCAAACGTATTTTTATAAAGTCGGGTTCAAAAAGGATTAGGATTGGATACTATATTTTAAAACGGTCGCTTTTTTTCTTTTTTTTTTTGTTACTTTTCTATCATTTACTCAAAGGTAATGGGCTTACATACGATTTTGTTCTTTGAAACCGTACCCGGTTTTTGGCGTGGATACATTTGTAGTGCATCAGGTTTATACAGTTTGTACAAGCTGAACGAACGTACACCAGGAAGGACTTCTGCTTTTTTCAATCCGTATGGTGGAATTTTAATATCAGGATCAGGCAATTTATATCTCCGTGAATCCAAGAACGTAATTTCTAAGACCGTATTCTTGGACTAGTCTCGATAAAACAAGATCCTCGATACAATGTTGCTAACAGCCACTCGGAAAAAGTGTGCCCTTCTCAAAAATATGGGGAACTTTAACTTAATGGCCAAAGCGCGAGATTCTAAGTCAACGAGCCTAACCACATAGCAATCTTATATATAAATACTAGTTATCTGCACCGCGGTAAAATCCTATAATAGTGCCACACAAAGGAAACTTTTCCATACAAAGCTGTTTCCCTGCCTTTTGATATTTAAAGGAAGGAAAAATTGTCTTTGGGTAAAGGGCAATACTACTTTTCCCCCAACCTTCTGATGACCGACCCTTCCCCGAAAATTATCAGGTAGAGCACTCGTGGGCGTCAGAAACCTGCCATACTTCAATGCATCCTCATTCCGTATGAGATGCGTATTTAACTCAATTTCATTCACCGCTAACTGCACAGATTTTCGAAGAAAATTATTTTCATAAAGGTGACTTAATACAATTATATCGGCTGTCTGAACCTAGTATACAGTGATACTTGCAACGCACTTAAGTCGAACAAAAGCCAATCTGTATCTGTATAGCCGTTATAACCGCCCTTTGGCGTAACACACCAGCTTCACAGGCACGCGGCGCGGTGGCAGTTGGCTACATTACACCGAACGACTTGTTACACCTAACCCTTGAACATCTAACTCTAGACATTTTTAAAGCTAATGATAATGCCCCTACTGTACTTGGTGACAGCGAGTTCCACTCTGCAATAGTTCTAGGAAATAATGAATTCTTGAGCACCTCAATCCTTGGTTGATAACTCAGGTACTTGAGGGCATGGCTATTTCTTGTTCTCTTCTGGGTTTGTCTTAGGTACTTAGTAGTTGGTACGTCCACCAGTTTATTAGTCATTTTGTACATCATGCATAGTCTGGACATTATTCATCTGTCTTCCAGTGACTCCCACTGTAGGTTTCTTAATGTTGACGTATTGCGTACATTATACCTCCAGTCCAATTTGACGGCGCTCTCACGGCGCTCTCTCGGCGCTCTCACTGCGCTCTCACTGCGCTCTCAGGGCGCTCTCACGGCGCTCTCACTGCGCTCTCACTGCGCTCTCAGGGCGCTCTCACGGCGCTCTCACGACCTGAAATTGGCCAGAGCGCGGGAATTGGCCAGAGCACCAAGGTCGCCATTGGAGTGCAATGAGAGTGCAATGGCAAGGTCGCCATTGGAGCGCAACGTAGTCTGGAGAATACATAAAACTAGACTGCGTACTTTATTAAGATCCTGTAACACATTTGATACCTTCTGTGTATCCCCATTCAGCATACGTTGTGTATTGCAAATTCATGCAATACGCTGTCGTAGGTACAAAATTTATTTTAAATGGAGTGAAATATGCTGTATTTGCTCGAAAAAAGGTATCCGCCTTTTAAAGGTTTTTTTTTTCTTTACGTATTTACATTCAAATCTGAACTTTTCACTGTTAGCAGAAGTAGAAATATTCTGGTCAATTCAATTCAATTTGTGTTGCATTGCATTTTACTACTACAATCTTTTGTGGTAACTATAAGCAGTTAACAACCAGATTTGCAATTCTTAAAATACATGTATGTATTATCTTCAAGTTATGGGCACTACGGACGACCCATGTTTGACGGCGAAGGAAATCTACGAACCACGACGCAGCACAGAGTATGTTACTCCCCAACACAGCTCCAACAAGACGAGTGATACATACAGGCCAGAGGGCTGGTACCGCTTCACCCATATGAATGGGATGATGCCCACGGTCTGTGTGGAGGCCTTTCGCTGCGGTACAGACACACCCATATGGATGGATGGGACACACCCGGCAGGTTTGTGTACTCGTTATTCCATCTGTACAAAATGTATATGTCTCTAAAGTATTTGTTTCTTCTTTTCATCCATCTAAAGTGTTTGTTTGTTTGGATGTTTGTTTATAAAGTTTTGGTTTAGCTCAATAACATACAGAGATATGTATTAACTTTGGGGTTTTAACGTTGGTAGGTTTTAACGTATTGAGAAAATTTTTACATTTTGGACACCCTAGCGGGTACTTTGGTACTGCAGCATAACCTCCCGATTGAAGAATTCTTGTTTTGGATAGGCTAGGCTCATGCCCTATTTGTTGTTACATAGCCCTTGGTCACATGAAGGATGGGTGTAGGTTAAGGTGTTTTTTTTTTTCAATTACAGAAGTCGACTTCGATTAGGAAAGAATTTAACTCAAGAAAAGGTTGACTAGTTGTTGTACGAAATTTATTGGATGGAGCTAGCTTAGGTGACGATTGACAATTCCTAGGCAGATCATGCAAGTCATGATATAAGTTGCACCTTTATCTTTAGATAAAATGGGATGCTTAGTTGGAGAAGGCCATCAAGTAATACTGTAAATCAAACGAGGACCTTAATTGCCCGACCGACGACAACACCTTTCTAATAGTTTTTTTTCAATGGTCCTGAAACCCTCATATTTTACGGGAGATTCCGACCTGGAAACATGTTTTACGTAAAGTGACGCTTACGTTTGCCGTACATCTATACATGCAATTGACTGTATCTTAATTGATCCAGATATACCCCAACGTTATCTGTTGTTAACGTTACAGTACCAGACTAAAATCTTGAAGCATGACCTAAACTTACCGTTAGAAACATGTAATCAGAGTTTTTTTTGTTAAATTTACATGAATTTTTACAATTTAATTTAGTAGGCTAAAATGTAATTTTGTCGCTATAAATAGCACCTGGTCTTTAATTGAATGATTTAGTCCCCTTTTTTTCTTCATGATAATCAGTTAGGTATTACATTAACGACCTTATTTCCATAGTCAATGAGACAAATAAAAAAACATTTACAAAAACTCATATTTCATTGAGGTTTAGATCAGGTTCAATTTTAAAGAACCGGTGTAGAGTTTGACAACCTATACGTCTATAATTCTATACTATTTCATTGTGTTTAGTTGGAGATGGCGAGGTCGACCGTGTTGCGTGCTCAAACCTTGGCTTTCCCGGTGACTGCTGCCCTTCTACGTACAACATCAAGGTGAAGGCGTGCGGCCCAGCAGGAAACCCCTTCTACGTCTACAGACTGGTACCGACAATTTATCACGATGCTTACTGCGCAGGTGAGACAGTCCTTTCCCATATGTATTTTAATATGAACCTCATAGAAATTGACAATCCCAAAATTAAGATATTATCCTAAAATAGATGTTCACCCCTAAAGATCATGTGAAGTTTTGTATGCTAAATGTGTTAATACATTTCTATCTTAAAGGTAGCCCCCTTCGTAGACTTTGGCGGTGGTGGCTTTGATTTGGAGGGGGGGCACTGATGCGCGATTAATTACCGCCGAGGGAGTTATAACTATAATTATTATATAATTATGCGCCACAGAAGTAGTATACTTCACCAACAAATCTTCCTTCACTCGGCGCCCTTAAAGGGACGGGGGTTAGCGTTTCATAGAACCTATTAGCATTTCGGGGCAATTCAAACATGCAGGGAGTAGGCAAGCACGCGTGTTTTTTGACACAGAAATCACGGCATGTTTGCGGATTGCGTTCTAGCTAAACGTTCCAAAACAAAAAAGGGGGTCTGAACATTTTTAAACCCCAATGCAAACACGCTAAGAACATGAGCATTACTATTTTTGGTGCTCGTATTTTCGCAGTGACAATGGCTACGGGATCGTGTTTGGTTCTTAGCAAATGGTTGATGTTCTATTGACTGGTTGATGAATGGCTGCTAGAAAGATGTGGCTGATCAGGCATAGGTTGTGAATAGTTCCTTGCCTTGTCTTGCCACGAAGTTAATTATTAACATTAATAGGTGTTTTGATAAAGGGTTAATGCCTCCGCGCCGATGTATATATGCGTATATGGTGAAATAATCCCTGGTCAGGTGCTATAACCACCAAATAAACCCACCAATGCTGACCAGGGATTATCTCACCATATACACCTAGGATAATTAAGGTGGGGCATTAACGTTTATATCATATAGCCTATAGTTATTTTACACAAATTCCTTCATAAAATTCCTCCATTGCCGAAAAAAACTCTCACATTCAGATCATCTAGGTACTCATACACATTTGAAGAAATACTAGTACCCCCAAATCATATATATATATAGATGGTACTGTAAGTGGAGAACAACAACACTAGTTTTATTGCCCTGTCCCCTGTATAATGGTACGGTCCAAAAAGTGGTCGGTTATTCTAATAACTGACCCCTTTTGAGCTAACAGCCTGATAACCAATGAGAAATGGAGCCTTCTGATTGCTCGACGTCTTCTGGCTATATGATGATAGGGCTTGTTGATGGCGTATGTTACTTCCGCGGCTCCTTCGGTGGTAAAATCCCCCTCCCCCAATCGCGTATTAGCGCTCTGCCTCCGCAAAAGTCCGTGAAGGAAGTTATTTTACGGCAAAAGCGCGAAAAAATGTTCTGTTGACATGTGACCAAGGCACACTTGAATTTTTGAAAGATGTAAAAATGTATTTTTTTCTTCGCTACTATTGTAAGCTTTACGACCACAGACTTATTAACCATATGGCGTTTTATTTTAGGAAACACTGCACCTTGCCCAGATGGTCTAGAATACAACGTGTTTCATGACCGCTGTGGACGTAAGTCTTGACTGATATACGTTTTATCTCTTTACATACAATATTATTTGACGATTTAAGCCATGTATATGTTTTATGTTTTTGTGTGGCTATATATTTTTTTCATACCTAAAAGTTTGTGTACGACTATCTTGAGTTCATATGTCATCATCATTTTTTGAAATTGCTTTTCCAAATAATTCCATCGGTTGACGAAATCATTTTTTAATATTTAAGATTGATATATCTTCATATATATAAATGTTTATAAGCAGGAATTAATGATTGATAAACTTGCAAATAACTTAAGACAAATTTGGGGAAGTCCAAAGGAAACAATTGTCCAACAGCTCATTTTGATTAATTGGCCTCGGCCACCCAAACTCCGGCCCTCAGTCTGGGGCACAGGCCCCGAGCCGCACGTGACTCCCAGTCCCCTGTCCATTTCCGCCCGACACCCGGCCGGGTGAGGTGTCCCTTCCCGGTCTTTCACTGTGTTCAGAATGACCAAACCGAAAACTCGGTCTGCAAGTTGGCCGTCAAGGGCCGTCCTGGCCAGCACGGCATAGGCCACTGCACTATCTTGGGGCGTCCAGCCAGACGATCCTTAGCTTTGGAGGACGATTTGGACTAATCTCCAAGCAGATCCCTCTCGGTGGCAAAAAGACAGTATCAAATTGGCCAGGCAGTATCCATTAGCCAGAGAAGGTCCGCGGCCACCGACGGGATCTGCAGAAAGTCGCACTGGACAAGGTTATTAGCACGCAATTGTTACCTAATCAAACCGCGATCAGTCCGGGTTTAGGAAGAAGGTGTGAATTATGCCCCGCGCGCGAGCCCCTGTCCGGCATCTCACAGGAAGTATCGTCACAGGTCATTTACGATACCGTTAGCGGGCCAGTTTGAATTCCAGTAAAAGAGGCGAAAGTTCGACGTGTTTTCCGTGATACCAACTCTTGCCCGCCCGCTTCCATAATATGGATAAATGAATACGCCTCCCTCCCACAAAAATACGAAGCATTGCTCTCCCCCTTTTCTCCGAAGATTAAGTGCAAATACAATCCTTGCGCTCTTCACAATTGAAACAAAACTATACTCGACGTCCACCAGTGATACGCTAACATATGTCAATAGATAATTCTTCTTTATTCATCGGAAAATTTCGTAATCTAACGTTACACAAATTATGCCATGTGGTGAAAATATCCGATGCATAACAGTATATTTTTCTCCTCCTTGCAAACAGTAAATAATCATGTACCTATCTGTCCACTATCCTGGCTTCGAGGCCGTTAAATGGACTATCCAGCACAGAGGAAATTCACATGGCAAATCGGAAAGGAAACTAAAAACAACGTTTGCAAACTTTTAACCGGGAACAACAAAATTGCTAGAAGGCACCGTATCAAAACACAACGGTAGGACAGAAATGATAGCCAGAAACACCAAACTATATTAATATATGTAAATGTAAAAACTAATACTTCATTGTGTGTTGAAAATCAAATTTATATTTATTTTGTTGATCTCGAACGTTTATTTGGTAATTTTGTACGTAATCATGTTAATTCTGCTACGTTGTAGTGCTGTTGCTGTCAGCTGGCGGTATGCTAATAAGGCATGTGCGGTTTACTGCGCGGGCCTGAATTGCACTGCAGCGCACTGGGCGGCATCGTAAAAGTATTACCGCTTCCAGTTCACAGATTGCGGGGGGATCAAGACAAAAAAAACGGCCATATATAAAAAGGTAACGATCATTCCCCCACAACCTCTGCTTGGATAGTAGATTTGGACCAGCTACATCAAGAGGTATCTTGAGAAGTTCAGCCATCAGAGCAGAGCCAAAGACATCACGAGGGCCCTCTGGTGGGAAGCAAGCGCTGACGAACCGACTGGTCCGGACCTGCGGGCCGACGCTGCGCTCACCAGCCAAGTGGACAGGACGCTGGAGAAAATCTTTGGCAAGAAAGTGGAGAAACGGAGGAAGCGGTCGCCCACTCGACGGGAAACGGACACCAGCTCTCCCCCCCCCCCTTCGGTCGCGTCACCGGGATGTGAAGCGTAAACCCCGCTCCGGGCGTCGTCACCTTCTGTCCTTCTCCGACCGCTCGCCCGGGCCCTATTCCACCCCGTCTCGTTCCCCTTCACGCCACAAGCCGCCGTCTGGAAAACGGAGCGTTCGTCGACCCTCCAGCAGATCGCATCGGGCCAATTTCCATCCATCACCACAGGGACAAGTCAGAAGAATCAACGACTTCTTCCCCCAGCCCCACACGGTCTCACCATCAATCAGAGCCCGGCACTTCCAGGCCAGGCCTGGCCGCTCCTCTACTATAAATGATCACATTACCACCACGGCCAAGGTCAGCGGGCCACAAGTGAATGTCCATTTCCCGGGCTTCAGAAATGGGGGCGCAGTCACGTACGATGATCTGAACTTACCTATGTTTGTCACGGGATTCATCAGAAACCTCATATCAGGGCACCGCGTCAGTGACACTGCCTTTATCAAACTTTCTACACTGACAGACATCATGTATGACGCGGCGGCCTGTCGTGCATGAGATGTATGCCTCAATCATGTACGCTCTCGAGATAGATGCGATAAGGAACCGACAGCCTCCTGAGGTACACCGCCAGCCGACCCCTGGCAAACAGTCCTCCCAAGACTACCATGTCCCCATGAAAATTTTTGGGAAGTCCAAAGGAAACAATAGACAAGTCAGGACAATGATTAGTCAGAAGCACCTGTTTAACTCCTGCTGAAATGCTGTCTGTTTATTTGTTGTTTCAAAGACCCCCATTAGTGATAGTACATCTATAAAATACATCCTTCATTACTCTTCCTGGGGTCCTAAAAATAAACATACATGTATCATACACAAATCATACACATTATAATGAATTTGAGCACACAATATATATGTCACAGTAGAGATGCAAATCCAGTAGAGTTGGCAACTCTACTAGTAGAGATGCCAATTGGCAGCTCTACTAGTAGAGATGGGAATCCTAGTATTTATACTACTGAGTTCCAGTCTCTACTAGTAGAGATGGGAATTCTGGTGTTTTTACTCCAATATCTACTAGGAGTGTTCCAGATTCTCTTACCAGACATTGGAATTCTAAATCTTTTTTAGCACAAATGGGAAGTCTTTGAGTTAGACCAGGATATTCTCCAATTCTAGCAAGGAACATTTTTTTTTAAATAGACTGAACACCTAAAGTTTCAAATTAATCATATTATAAGGTAAGCCTACATTCACAATTACTATAAATTTAGTTAATTAAATTGCTTCATATTTCAGATATCGAATTGTGCTTCTATCAATACATCATATCAATTCTGCTTTCTGCTGCTCATCATCTGCCATATCTTCTGTTCACTTTGACATCAACTTTGGAACTGGCTTGGTATGACTGATTAGCTCTTATATACCCAGTCACCAACTAACTGGAAAAAGCGGTTTAGCACATTGGGTCTCTAACTCATAATGGCCTGATGCAAATGTCTCTGTTTTACATTTCAGTGGCAAAAAAATTGAGTGATGTTGGGTAATGATTGAGGTGTGAAAATATTCAGTCTATTTTCCAAAACATTTTTAGGTAACTAATATGACTGTGCCCTGCTAGAATAAGGTAACTAATATGACTGTGCCCTGCTAGAATAAGGTAACTAATATGACTGTGCCCTGTTAGAATTAGGTAACTAATATGACTGTGCCCTGCTAGAATAAGGTAACTAATATGACTGTGCCCTGCTAGAATTAAGGTAACTAATATGACTGTCGCCCTGTTAGAATTAGGTAACTAATATGACTGTGCCCTGCTAGAATAAGGTAACTAATATGACTGTGCCCTGCTAGAATCGTATAAATACGATTCCCATCTCTACTAGAAGAGATGCCAACTCTACTGGATTTGCATCTCTACTGTGACATATACATACATGTATACTTCAATTTACTACCAGTTCTGTATATACTCCTATTTGTGTCCGTTTGATGACTCTTTTGAAGGTACAGATGTTCTGATGTGATCTGGAAGAGTATTGTATGATTTCGAGCACCTGTAAATAAAAGTCGTAGTAACTGCTGATGTTCTTGGATTTTGCGGTTTTAAACTATCCCTTGTTGCAGATCTCGTGCTGTAACTCAGCTGGTTAGATACAAGCTGTAGTTTACTGTAAAGTGTTGTCGGTTGCTTATAGAAGAGCAACTTGTGGAAGGCACATAGTGTTGTAGTCGTAGAGTCTTTCATTAACAGTGAGCCAAGATAACACAAGTCCCCCTGCCTTATTCTGCATTACTTGGAGTACGGTGATGTTCTTTTGTGAGGTAGGGAACCATACCGCTGTACAGTAGTGCAAGTGTGTCAAGGTAAGTGTCTCCGCCAGCAGTTTAAGCAACGATTGGTCAAAATATGCTGAATTTCTGATAACCCCCAAGGATCGAGCCATTTTCTTAAAAGTATCTTTTTATATGGAAATCCCATGTAAGACATTCATCTCATGTGCTACCGAGTAACTTCATACTTGTTGTATTGGACTCCCATCAATAAGGTGAGTTGGAGTTTCTTTGACAGTTTATTACCAAGCAACATACACTTTGTCTTAGATACTAAACGCACCTATTTTAGCACAAATGGGAAGTCTTTGAGTTAGACCAGGATATTCTCCAATTCTAGCAAGGAACATTTTTTTTAAATAGACTGAACACCTAAAGTTTCAAATTAATCATATTATAAGGTAAGCCTACATTCACAATTACTATAAATTTAGTTAATTAAATTGCTTCATATTTCAGATATCGAATTGTGCTTCTATCAATACATCATATCAATTCTGCTTTCTGCTGCTCATCATCTGCCATATCTTCTGTTCACTTTGACATCAACTTTGGAACTGGCTTGGTATGACTGATTAGCTCTTATATACCCAGTCACCAACTAACTGGAAAAAGCGGTTTAGCACATTGGGTCTCTAACTCATAATGGCCTGATGCAAATGTCTCTGTTTTACATTTCAGTGGCAAAAAAATTGAGTGATGTTGGGTAATGATTGAGGTGTGAAAATATTCAGTCTATTTTCCAAAACATTTTTAGGTAACTAATA